TTTTTTATGATTAAATGGAGTAATAAAGACAATGTAGTTTATTTTATTAATAGCAAATCAATGTAAAAATATATTTCCTGCATAATCAGACCTGATCTAAAGCCCAGTGAGTTCAATGATACTTACCTATTGCATGCATTATGCTTTGGATCAGGGTCTTAATGCTTAAGAGATGGTGCATAAAAAACTAAGCAGGCTTCACAAAATGGGAAATTATATGGAATTCCATGCAAATATATGTATTTTCCAAGTGTTTAAATTATAGAAGTGCAACTAAATTATCATTTTAGGCAAGTGATCTTAATCCTGGCACTTCACAAGAGGCAATGCAAATTCTCTTATAAGTTGTACCTCTTCATGCCAGTAAGTTTATACATTGAGTGTTATTTTCTCTATTTTTAATAATGATACTAATTATAATTAAACTAACCTGAAATGGTTGTCTTATAGACTTAACATGCTAGCAACTGGCTTTAGAAAAATATTCAATGTATGTAGTATAACGAAAAGAGAATATTTATGGGAATTTTTTAGTATATTTAACTTAAAAAAGAAAATACGTTTTTTTTGTTTTTTTGTTTTTAATCACAGTACCATCAACTATATCACAATGTGTTCATGAAGTATGTAAATGGTCACAGTGGTATGATGTGACTTATCCAGACACTGGAGAAAATGATGAAGACTTTGATACATTTGATAACTTAAGAGCTGAAGGTTACAAAATCTGCAAAGCTCCAAAGGATGTCGAATGCAGAGCAAAGGAATATCCAAACACACCATTAAATGAAATTGGGCAAAAAGTAGAATGCAATACAACAGCAGGTCTTATATGTTATAACAAGGACCAATATCCAATGAAGTGTGACAATTATCAGATCAAAATCTACTGCTGTACTTTTGTACCATGTGAATACAAAACTCCAACTACAATAAACCCAACTGAAACAGCAACTACTGTCGCAGAAACTATTCCTCCAGAAACCACTACAACTTTTATACATTCCACAGCTACAGCACAACCTACCTCCACAAAATATAAAACAACAACACTATCAACGAGTACCATGACAACCACAAGTCTTTCAACAACTTCAGTCCCAGAACCAATCACCATGACAAGCTCCATTCTACCAACCACAGGTGCAAAACCTATAACCACTATTTCTTCAACAATTGCTCCTTGCACAAAGGAAATCTGTAAATGGTCACAGTGGTACAACACACATTATCCAATGTATGGAATCAATGATGGAGACTTTGACACGTTAAAAAACATAAAAGCAAAAGGATATTCTATTTGTGAAACACCAAAGAATGTTAAATGCAGAGCACTAAGGTTCCCCAATACAAGTTTGAAAGATTTAAACCAAAATGTTACATGCAGCAAAACCGAAGGCTTAATCTGCTATAACAGAGATCAATTCCCACACATATGCTTAGACTATGAAATACAAATTGAATGCTGTAAAAATGAAAGCATACCATGCCAAACAACTCTACAAACAAAACCAGTTGTAATACGTACATGGACAACAACAGTTCCCATAAAAGAGCAGGTTAATGGAACACAAACAACCACAACTGCTACAACCATGCCAACCAGCACAAAGACCACTATTTCCACCCAGAGCACAACGCATACTCTCCCTCACACCTCCACGACTGTCACAACTGCCATCCAGTCCACCACCCATTTGTCTACACAACCCACCCACTCCAAAA